TGTGGTATCCCGAGGTCGACGTGGATGATCAGGTGCAGACGTGGGCACGTGGTCGGCCTGGCGTATAGGCTGTGCACGTGACGAGGCACAGCACATCAACTAGTTGCTAGCACCTGCAAAACGGGTGCGCTGCTGTCGTGCGGAAGCAACGGTGTCCAGCCGCCTTGCTACAGCGTTGTCACGCCGTCGACTTGCAGTGCTGGCAGGCCGCGACATTGCACTGCTGGAGCGCAGTTGACCCTGACATGCTGGAACGCGGTCGACCGTGCTGCACTGGCAGTAGACCAGCTTGCATCCTAGCATCTGATGTAGTCAATGTTGCTTTGCCATTGTTAACTTTTGCTAGTGAAACTCTTGCAAATTTCCTCCGTGAATGCGCAAGTAGAGTGAGCAAGAAACGACTAAGAAACGAACGTTACGATCACTCCTACCCCGTGCCTACCCCATAGTCTATCTCCCGTTGTACGAGTTATCTCCGCAGTCCTTGCGCCATTTTCCCAGCCCACATCTTTCTCCCCTTCCCCCAGCCCACGTCCCCTTGCCCACCCACTTCTTGCTCCCCCCACCTGCCCACCTGCCTCTCCTGCCCCTCCCCACAGCTCACGTGTCTCTCTTGCACCCACTTGCTTGTCGCCCCCTGTTTATATCGCCACTCTCTCCCAACCATGCACTATGTTACAGCACATCTTAGAATATTTTTCTTCTGCTTAGTGACACGGAATGATCAGAGTTTTTTCGGGCACAAGCGCTGATTTTTCAGCATTTTATTTTCTACGTAACGCTGATCCTTCAGCATTTTACTATGTACCCTTCTCTACAACAACAATGTCAGCAAGAAAAAAAAGGGGAGAGGCTGGGAGGGAGTGGCGTGTCGAGGAATATAGTATGGGGCGAAGATTCTTCTTTCAAAGCAAACTGATTGATCATGGTAAAAAAGTTGACAAACTACATATGAAATTAGAAACTTACAGAAAGCCTGAAATTAGATTTCTGAAAACACAATGTACCAGTAAAAAAACACACGTCTAAAAATCAAACAAACAAACTGTAGTTTCGTCCGATAACAGAGGAGACCCAGCTCATAAGAATCTGGCATTTGGAAGTCAGTCTAAGATGACAACGGCACGCAAACAGACTTCGCTCTCACAGTTCCAGAGCAAGGCCTAACATTATAGTCATAAAACTGTGCAATTGCTGTCGAGGTAGGTCCACCATAGAAGCGGTAAGCAGCTGAACATGTCATAGATGGTTGGACTGGCTTCACCCTTCCCTTCTTGCAGATCCCCAATAAGAACGACCAATACTCTGCTCGGAGGCAAATCTGGGATGACAAGATGCATGGGAATGAAGTTAATGGAATTCAAAATGGTGTAGTAGAAACCAAGTTGACAAGCAAAGACGAACAAGAAAAATGAAGAACAGTTGCAAGGGCGACGAAGTACGTACTCTTGCAGAAGCCCAGAAGCTCGCGAAATGCAAAGCGTAACCACCTCTGTCCACCTACCTCCCTGCTCCCCCAACCCCAGTGACACCCTCCCCCTCTTCTTTCCCCCACTCAGCCCTCACATGTCTCACCTGTACGCCAATCTTGCTGCCAGCAGCGGAGGCAGATTTAGGGATGGTGGAGGAGCAAGTAAGGCCAGGATTGTTACGGTAAAGTGCAGGCCACGGGTTTTCATTGGAGCCCCCTTCTGAAGTAGCTGTCCCCTGAAGCAGCCGGTCGCATGTGTCTTCAGGTGTGATAATCCCGTACTGCACACACTCAGGCACCGTGTAGGCGAAGGCAGCACTGCGCTCCAGGCACACTGAGCGGCCAGCCTTGATGGGCTCGGAGCAGTCAAGGCCAGGGTTGAGCGTGGTGAGATTCCCCTCATTGTAGTTAAGCTGCTTGCTGATGGATTCACAGGTGTCTCCCTGGCAGGTTGGAGAGAGGCAGGGACAGTGTGCTTGCTGCTTGCTCACGTCAACAACGATGTGATGTGGTGAGAGAGATGACCATCCGAGTTGATTGAGGGCATAGTCAGCCATTGCCAAAAGGCCAGCAGTTTCTCACCTTGAGTGTGTAGAAGAAGGCAGTGCAGGGTGCGGCGGGAGTACCGTCCAGCTGAAGGACACTGGCCTTGGCCAATGGCTGGCTGCAATCGATGCCCTGCAGTAGGAAACACATTCACGAATTAGAGGCCATCAGGGGAGGTCCTCCATATGGGCCTTCCCTTCTTACCGGGTCCTAGGGAGTAAGCTTCTTGTACCTTACCGGGTCCTAGGGAGTAAGCTTCTTGTACCTTACCGGGTTTTAGGGAGTAAGCTTCTTGTACCTTACCGGGTCCTAGGGAGTAAGCTTCTTGTACCTTACCGGGTCCTAGGGAGTAAGCTTCTTGTACCTTACCGGGTCCTAGGGAGTAAGCTTCTTGTACCTTACCGGGTCCTAGGGAGTAAGCTTCTTGTACCTTACCGGGTCCTAGGGAGTAAGCTTCTTGTACCTTACCGGATCCTAGGGAGTAAGCTTCTTGTACCTTACCGGGTCCTAGGGAGTAAGCTTCTTGTACCTTACCGGGTCGTAGGGTGATTTGGAATTTGGGGATTTTTTCTGTGAGAAAAAGAGTTTTGGACAAATCAAATCAAACCATGATGCAAGTATCAACAATTGTCCAGGACGACGTTCAATCAGACCATACCAGGACCAGGTTGATATAGGACTATTGGTTGAAGTGACGTGAACACTAGCTGATTTGGGTAGTAAAGCAAGAAAGTGGGATGGAGGCTAGCCCATCGTCTGGATCCAGCTCTGCCCGCCTCATTCTCCCCACCCCCTCTTCACCCAGTCCTTACTGCATTCTGGAGAGTGAATTGAGCCAGTGAGAGGCCAACAAGTACATGAACATCCAAGCACAACCAGTTGTCTCCACTGACTGTCATCGTGGTGGCTGTGCTGTTCGCTGCAGACGCCAAAGGAAGAGACATAGGCATTGAGGGACGGAAAGGAAGGGAAGCAAATTCAGAGGAACATGAGATGTTTCAGCCGTGAAGGAGCCCATCAGCGCATTGTGCTTGTGCCACTATCACTCAGTCGTGGCACAAGCACAATGCGCTGGCAATTTCAAGCATGTCAGACTGACAATTCCAAAGGCAACTGCTTGGGGTAGAGTGGCAGCACCTGGATCGCAGGTGGGGAAGCCGTCAACTGTTGTGCTCAGGATGTGGTTGGGAGGGCAGATGCAGGAGTAGGCGCCCTTGCCATCGTTGATGCATGCTCCCACGTAGCAGGGGTTCTTGAAGTATGACCCACACACGTTCACTGCCCCAGGTGTATAGGGGTGGCGCATGGTACAGAGATTGGAGGGATATGGGGAGAAGAAAGAGGAAATATTGGTAGAGGAGAGTGGGGATATGGGGAGAAGAGAGAAAGGATGAGGGTAGAAGAAAATATGGATACGGGTAGAAGAGAGTGGGAATATGGGGAGGAGAGAAGGAGGGTATGGGGAAAAGAGAGGGGAGATTCGGGGAGAAAGGGGGATATGGGGAGAAGAGAGAGGGGATATGGAGAGAAGCGAGAGGGAATATGGCAATCCATGGCACTCAAGATAAATGAGGCTGCACACCACAAGATGCCGTCGGATCTCCTACACATTGCACAAGCAGGCCAGGAGGAGGTAGAGCACAGGGGTCTGGGAGAGATGTCCTGTGACTCACTCACTCGTCGTTGTTCCTTCTCACCTGTTCTACTCACCGCACTCATATACGAAGGGTGAGGAGGCTTTCGCATGGTGCAAGAACCAGACATACTTGAGTTTAATTTGAGACCAATTTTGGAAACTCGAGCTTTCCCTTGCAGTAAAACTTACCGTAAGCACATGTGTTGGAGCCATATCCATTCTTAACTTCGACAAAGGGCTGTGGATTAGCTCCAAGAACGGGAATACTGCAGCTGCAGTTATTGCTGTTGCTGCTTCTTGTTCTGGAAGTCTGGCACTGGAAGCGGCCGCACGGGTTCATGCTGGTCTCCGTCTCCTTATCGAACTTGTAGCTTCTTAGCCCGCAGGGGTCCCCTGGAACTGGAAGGTGACAAAGAGGTTGCACTTTTTATAACGTGAAGATGTATGTCAAACGGCCATAGCAATCAAACAATTGTGGAGGGAAGATACTAAAGAGCTCATGCCACATTGAGCTTGTAACGCGTGCATGCAGAGTGAGACAAAGTCGATTGTTCCGTGCTGTTGTTGCAGTCCTTTTGGACTGTTCTGTGCTTATTTCTACTAGTCTTGTGCAGGCACGTGGATTGACTACAATCTGTTTCATTGAACAAATAGTTCAAGATCAAAGGGGTAGATAATGCCCACTGATAATGGGGTAGATAATGCTCACTCTTGATAATGGGGTAGATGCCAGGCAGCGCATTGATGCCACACACGCCATCCCCTCCCTGAATGTCCATGCGCATGTGGCCTTTGTCTCCCCAGTCCTCTCCCCATGAGTTGCGGATGATCCAAAACGGTGGAGCAATGCGGTTCTGGCTGCCATCGTCAAACAGTATGAAGTAGCCTATAACGAGTACAACATGGTTGAGACTGCCCGTGTAGCAAAGAGGATCCTGGTATTTGAAAGTCTGCAACAACAGATTTGGGGCGGAAGATACATAGAAAACAAGGGGGAGCTTTTACAAGTACAGTCAGTTGTGAGTGATGATGCCAGTTGTCTACATGTGAAGCATATACGTGAATGTCTGTGCCACACATGTGTGGGCAATCTTAGCCAGAGTACGCATCCAACAAAACATTAATGAAGTGATAAACCTTTGAATTTGGGTTACTGGGTGGATTTCTACAGAGATGTATATTTAAAAGTGAGTGGGGTGTGACGATTGTGTACTAAAGGCAATTGCACTTCGTTTTTGTGTGTGTGTGTGTATGTGTGTGTATGTGTGTTGCTTTTTCTGTTTTGTTTTGTTTTGTTTTCCTCGAAATTCATTAATTAGCTCTTGGATTGGAACCCACATTTTCATTTCAAGCCGCACTGTGCCACGGTGGGACAATGAGGCACCGTACTGGGTGAGAGTTGCAATGACTCACCCCATCATACGCCTTGAATGTGGCAGCAGATGCCTCGATGTGAACCACCACTGGCTGGCGTCGCACTGCCAGCATGAGCCCCACATACCCCTTGAATTGTGCACGCTCAAATGCCTGCACCGGGTACCTAGTTGCCTGGGGTCACGAGAATAGGGGAATGCACCATTAGTGGAAGGAAAAAGGGGGGTGTTGGAGTGAGGGAGGGGTTTGGAAGGGGGGAGGGTGGGGTGAGGGGTGGGGAAGGGGTAAGGGGGGAAAAAGGAGGTGGGAGGTGGGGTGGGTGAAAAATGAATGGTCGTGGAGCCAGCCTGTCAAAATCACAGGACAGGCCAACTTTTTGCCAGGACCGATCGGCACTACAGGCCAGGGCCAGCCAGAGCAGCATGTAAATTGTTTTGACGGGCCTGGGCCGGCCAGTTCCAAGCTGTAGCCAGCGTGACGGGCCTCGTCGCAGCCCGTGGGAGTCCGGCACATGTCGGGTTGGTCATTATCACAACGGATTTGGAGCTCATAGCTGGAATTTCCGGTGCTCAGGTTTGTTTACAGAGCATGCTGTGTTCCCTACCAGGTTATTGGCCCCTGTGAGCCCACTGCTGCCACTGGCATTAAGAGCCACGAGCTTCTCAAAGGCCTGGGCGGGGGAGCCGCCAGCTTTGCACTTGTCTGAGCCGGTGAGCCCCATGGCCGCAAAGAGGGCCTCCACGGACAGCTGTGGAGCTCTGCCCTTCTTGGCAATGCCATATGCTGCCTCCACACTCGCCACCACCGCATACGCCCAGCAGGCATCTGAAAAGTGGACGGAAAAGGAGAACCATGCAATGACGGTGGAGAAACCTTAAGGACGGTGCCATTTGCTGCCTTGTGTAGTGCGCCTGCGGTGCAAACAACGACATTGTTCGACAAAAGACGCGACACTAGGAAGGGAAAGCATCCCTTCACATGCAATGCAAAAGCGGGTCAGAATGAGAGCTGGGAACGTGCGATCCTGTTTTCACTTACCGCATTCGTCCTGGTTCTTGACAGGCCAACCGAGCCAGGACACGGCGTCCCACGAGTGGAGGTCATGGATGCTCCACGCTTCGCTTAAGGTGGGCGTCAGTCTGAAGTCCGCACTCACGTAGCGCAAAAAGGGGCTGCCTCGAGACGGTGCAAACGTGGCCTCCGATAGTGAAAGTCCGAGGGCTGTAAGGGGCGGGAAGGGGTGAAGAAGAAGAGAGATTTGCCTGGAGAGTAGAGCGAGAGCAGGAGCGGAGATGAGAGGCATGGCAGGGCCTGGATTTGCAATGTCGTGGTCACCCTCCAAATCTGCTCGCAAGTCGTACTTCCTCGAAGAGGAACTGGCTGGGTCACCCAAGTAAGTCCGACCGACAAGCATGCGATCTGGGACGACTAGGTGCGGCTCATGGCAAATGACGGTTGGGACACACACGTGCACAGAAATCGCTTCGTCTTGGCCTGCTAATCGTTTCCTAAGTTCTTTTTCTAAATGGAGTAATTTCTCTCGTTCGCTTTGTAACATCTTAGTAACTGGAATTTCTGTCCATTTAGCAACAACAGTAGCAATATCCTCTTGGTCCACTGCAGGCATTTTTTTTTTCAATTCACTAGCTTTTTGTTGTACGGCTGCTAGTTGTTTTTCTGCTTCTAGAAGCTTGCCATAATGGATCTCTGCTACTTTGCCATAATCAAACTCTCTTTTTGCTTGTTCTGGTTTAATTTTAAGCTGCTCAAAATTTTCTTTTTGTTTGGTAATACCTTCTACAAATTGTTTTTTTTTTTTCCTTTTGCCACTTCGTTTCAAGTATATTTTTTCTTTCCGTAAGCTCATCAATGCCTTAACTGAGCTCAACTTCTTTAATTTTGTCATTTTCTTTACGAATAGCTTCTCGTTCTATCTCCACCTGCATAATTTTTCGTTGTGATTCCTCTAATTCTATAGGCATAGAATCAATTTGTATGCCAGCCATAGTGCTCACCTTGCTCTTTGATCTCGGGTGACTTGGGTGAAGGAGCACCTATGGGGGGAGAAAGACACAAGAAGATAGACAAGCACAGCAGCCCAAGATGGTTGAGTCTAAGATAGGGAGGGAGAGAACCACATGAAGGGCTAGCAACGGCCTCACTCCTGCAGCAGCAGCAGCAGCAGCAGTGGCGGCGGCGGCAGCGGCGGCGACGGCAGCAGCGGCGGCGGCAGCAGCAGCAGCAGCCACCACGGCCGCTGCCACCGCCACCACCACCACCACAACCATCCCCCCCATACAAAACATGATGTCCTCATTCAGACAGTCATGGCCATCACCATCACCCCACTTGCCTGTTTGCACGGAAGAGAAGAGAATGTTGTTCCTCTGGAAGGGCTTCACCGTGGTGGACGCCACGAAGCCAAACGAGAACGCTTGCTGGAAGGGCTTCACTTGAACCTGCAACAGCTCACAGAGTGATAGCCTCGTCTTCAGCAAAGGATACTCTGGCTTCACGGTTGAGTCAGCCAGGAATACTTGAATGGTGCCGGGAAAGCCAGGCTCATAGTCCACCCATGCCGTGTATCCAGCAGCGCGGTTGGTGAGAGCGAATGGTGAGATCTCCGCCACCAATGATTTTTCCACGCCGTTGATGTGCAGCCCCACGTGCTGCTCGCTACTCTGCTTGTTGTTTTGAAACGTCTTGAAGACAACGGCTATGCTCTGAGCCCCCGCTCCAGCATACCCCACACCACCAGGCTTCCCCACCTTGGCCTTTTCTGCAATCACAAACGCAAAGCCGTTGGACCTGGCAGCACCATTCTGGGAAAAGATAGCGAAGGTGAAGTTGGCACTAAACGCCAACTCCAAGCCACATCGCGAGGTCACACCAGGGGGGTACAAAAACAGGTTCACTGGATTCGCCATGAACCGCCCCACTGTCTGCTTCTGCGTCCCCTTGGTGAGCTCGGTGTATGGGGGAAGAATGGGGTAGCTTTGTTCGACGAAGCCTGAAAAGTTTCGAGGAAGAGGCAGCAGAGCAGAGCATGAGGAAGGGTGAAGGTGGTGAGCAATGGTGCCATATGTGAACGAAATTACGTGGTCAGCTCTTTGAAGGGGGCATCCATGGTGAAGGGGACTGTGCCGTGTGGTGCTAATTTGTGTGTAGCACCCATGAATGGCTCAGCAAGCTTATCTGCTCTGGTCATATTGGGTGAGAGCCGCAGAGGCTAGGGATAACCAATATGTGGTGCCAGGCTGGACAAGACTGCTGCAAAGTATAAGGCAAACGTGATGTCCGTATAGCCAGTGCAAGTGCGACCATGCGTTATTTCTAAGTACAATAATAATCACTCAATGCGTTATTTTTACCTGTTGCAATACAGTGGATTCCTCCAAGCTGCACAGATCCCGAATTACACGAGCACGTGGGCACCAAGCTGGGCCCGACTGGTTTGCAGATGCCACGGCCGTCACATGCAGAAGTACTAATGTTTGCGGATATGCCACAAAACGCTGTGCACTGTGCTGGGGGTCGCTGTATAACAGAAGAGCAAGCACTGTCCTGTGCAAAGCAGTTAGCAGCAATACTGTACTGGTCACAATTTGCTGCATTCCAAGGACCCGACAAGTAGTTGCTAGAAAGGTCCACCTGGAACCCTGGCCTCCGATCCAAGATCTCAATTGGGGAACCTGTGAGGTAGTTGTGGGAGAGATCACTGTGTGGGGGGGGGGGTCAAACAAAGGCAGCGGAACCAAAAAAAGGCAGGTGATATTTCATCAGGCGCATTGGAAAACCTGGATGCATGTGAATGGTATGAATGAGGTGGTGAGCAGAGGAAAGATTTGGAGCATAAAAGTAGGTACGCAGAAGGCATTGAGGAAAGAGAAGGGCATGAGGGGAGAGGAAGGGGGAGAGGACGATCAAGATGGGTATGAGGGAGTGCTCAATAATGATAAAAGCAGTCCAATGAAGTGAAGGAGAGGACCAATAATAATTCTCCAGGGTCCATGCTAGCAGGAAGGAGAGGAAAAGGAAGGTCACTGGCATTTGGATACAAAACAGATTCACAGGCAACCAGGAGTCCGATCATGAGGAGTTGAAAGGATGATTGAGGAGGTCAGGAGGGTTGAGGACAACCAGAGCCACAGCAACACTGACAGGTATTGAAACTTTGTCAACGTGCCGATGGATGGAGGGATGGGTCCTGTCAAGCGATTGTTGCCAATGGACCTGAAGCACAAGGAAGAGGGCTTGAAGAGAAGTTGAGGAAAAGGCTGTGGAGCATGGGAGGCTGGTGCATGAAAGGGGTTAGCCGGCAGGAAGCCCCACGACAGCTAGTCTCTAGATCGCTTTATCATGCTACTACGGGGAGATCAATATTGGAAGTTGGTATGATGAAATCTATATTTGCCCCACAAGGCTTCCTCCGCTCCCCTCCCCATTCCCTGACCTTTTCCCTGCCCGAAAGTTTGTTTTTAGCTGCCTGAGAAGCATGCAAAGTAGTGTTGATTCGCGTTTTTTTGTTTTCCTTGGCTGAATGACCCGACCTCTGATGGGACGGGCTTGGCTCAGCCTGTCACAAGTCAGTTTCAGACCAGCCCGATCCCAGGTTTGATCGGATCGGCCACACCCGCCCGGGCCGGTTGCCCAAACCTAGATTAGGGGCGCTGTCTCTTGCACATCACATCAGATGCGATTGGGTGACGATGTTGCTCTGTGTACAAAAGAATCGTCTCAATTTTGACAACAATTGTTTTTGAACCAGACTTCAACATTACCCTTACGGATTTGAGTTATAGTTTGCCTACATAACATGACATTACGGGCCCCGGCGAGGCCTGTCACGGACCGCGATCATGAAGGATCAATACAAGTCTTGCAAGATAGGGGAAGTCATAGCAGTGACCTTGTCGGAGTGAATATGTTATTATAAGAAACGAAGTGAATGCAGCTGCAACACAATAAAGAGGCCATAGAAGTAACTTACCCGTGTTACCGACTACAGCGGTAAACATGAGCAAGCGAGTCGAGCAAACCCGGTTGAGTAAAAAGAACCAGAATTTTTATTGCCATTTGTATTTTGTTATAATCATTTCCTACTCGACGAGTAAAAACAAAACAAAAACGTTTGATATCGCTGTTATGACTGTGCATATTTGGTATTTAGCGTATACATGAGCAAACAGCGAGACAAATAATACTCGACGTTCGTATCGCCGAGCCGTCGACTCGTCCACGAGGCAGAGGTGGCTCGTCGACTACAAGAGGGGTAAAAGAAACACCATGACTGCGAAATGCCAGATTCGTGTGGATCTGGCGGCAAAATGGCAGATCCTCTGGCGGGAGAAGTGCTAGATGGCAGGAGAGGACGACCCCGCTGGCACGTCATGTGTTGACCCAGCCTGCTACCAACTGGGTTAAAATGGCATGTTAGTATGGTGGACAGCACACTCATACCACCCCAGGACGCATTTGTAGCTCTCCTACACCCCAGGGGGCATGTTTGTATGGTGGATAGCACACCCATAACACCCCAGGACGCATATGTAGCACTGTGATCACATCACAGTGCCCCACCAAAATCATGAACCATACTGTTTCGTCTTTGGCTCGCTTTCAAGAACAAGCCACAAGCCGGCTAGCTCAGGATTTTGGCTTTCCTCTACACGTAGCTGGCTCGACTCAGGCTCATGCTCATGAATAACACGGAGTTAGGGATGAGCAAGGGGCGAACACGAACGTGTTCGTGTTCGCCCCTACACGAACACCGCCGTTTGCCGAACCGAACAGTGTTCGGTTCGGCGAACACTTTGAGCAAAAAATGGTGTTCGCCGTTCGCCTGTGAAGGCGTGTTCGGGCGAACCTCGAACACGTTCGTGTTCGTCGCGGGGCAAATTGCAGCAGCGGCCCGAACACGAACGTGTTCGGGCGAACATCGAACACTGTTCGGCGAACACTTTAAGCAAAAAAAAAAAACCTGTTCGGTTCGCCTCGAACACGTTCGAGGCGAACCGAACAGGTGTTCGTTTTTTTGCTCAACCCTACACGGAGTGCATAATATGCAGCAGTAGAGACGAGGGTGGTGGTAAATAGACAGGAGAGAAGGGGATAAAAGGCAAGCAGGTTGAATAGAGTGGTTACGAGAAGACTGGCATCAAGAAAAAAACAGGCGAAGGAGATAGGAAGGGCAGAGATTACATTGAGTTATAAAACACAACCCTTACACCTGTGTATGCTTTGTCAAATTTCCAATTGCCCAGATTCGGAGCACAACAGGGACTCAAACCCTCCACTCTAGACAGCATTGTGGCATCACCCTCTAGTCAACCAGCATACATTGGTTAGTAAGCGTGTTTTAGGAATGGTTTGCCATCATGTGCTCACTCCACACACTCAGCTCATGGCTACTATACAATCCACTATCATATGATTCAGTAGCATGCGACTAGACATGAGAAAGAGGCCCATCGAGCCAGGCTCGAGGCTCGACATCTGGCCAAGACAAGTCGAGTCGCGTCAAGATCGAGGAGACTTGGCAAGGTCTTTTCTCATCGCTCTATCAGATCGATATTTTGTCCATCAAAGGGAATTGATTCGAGTCGAGCCGAGTCTGGCTCGTATCTTTTTACCTTCAACGAGTCGAGAAATGATCGAGTTTGTTCAATGAAGGGCATGGGCTTAAACTAGCATGAAGGAGGGTGGAGCGGAGAAGTGCAGAAGGGGGAGAAAAACAAAGAAAGCGACTTACACAAATTGCAGGTTTGTAAGGTGGCCAATTTCATTCGGGATTGAGCCACTGAGCTGATTATATGAAACATCTCTGCAAGGAGAAATACAGATGGGCATGTGGGCACGGAGACAGGGAGCTCCGGTTTGCATGGAAACGAGCCACAGATAGGAGGTTATGCAAAATCAAGAAAAGGCAACAAAATCATGAAGGCAGCGCGATGGACATTGTCCTTGGGGTTTGTGCAGGCAATGTCTGTGATAGTCGAGGGGGGGGGGGGGGGGGTAAGAGAGGATCTTCTCCTGCCCCAGTGGGGATTGAGTTGGTGAGCTGATTGTCATGAAGCATTCTGCGGGACAATAAACATGAATGGGCGGAACATACTGGGAGCTTTAGTTTGCATGGAAGCGAGCAGGCAGTAGATAGAATGTTATTTGAACTGAGGTCAAGTTCATAGGTATGAACAGGGAAAAGAAGAGGGACGAGCATGAAACGAGGAGGAATTGGAGCAGTTATGCCACACTCGAAGAATATTTTTTTTATTGCCAATTTCCCAGATGGTGAGTGATAGCAGTGAAGCAAAGATTGGAACTCGTGGCTCTACACAGCAGTGTGGCACCACTCTTCCTTAATAAGTGGCATATGAGGGTGAGCTACAGTAGGCTAGATTAGGCATGAGTATGAGTGCAACAGAAATTGAAACCGGCAGTTTGGTTCGGTTCGGACCATTTCGAACCAAACCAGGGTCCTATTTTGGGCTGCCGGTTCGAAACGGTATGAACCGGTGCGATGTAGCGGTAGAAGAAGAACGAGGAGAAAGAGTTGCGACGATGGGCAGAGAATGCAGCATGCAGCACAGCAGGGAGGCCTTACAAGTAAGTCAGCTTCGCAAGGTTGCCGATCGCATCAGGGATTGAACCATTGAGCTGATTTTTATTAAGATATCTGCGGGACATGCAAGGAGCTTAAGTTTGCTTAAGATATCTGCAGGACAAAAAAAACAAACATGTGGTACATACAAGGAGCTTAGTTCGCATGGAAACGAGCAAGCGGTGGATAGGAGGTTATGTGTTATCCTTAATAAGCAAAAGAAGGATGGAAGGCAGCGCAGTGGACATTGCCAATGGAATGTGTGCAGACAATGGCAGGGGATAACCGGGGGGCAGGAGAAGTGAAGAGAGTGAAACCCTTCGTCTG